TCAGTGAAGCAATTCCACATTTTGACCTGCCAGCATGTTGATGATAGACGTAGCCCTTCCGTAAGTAGTTAAACGTTAAAGATCAGCAGTTTTGCCTCTCGGAGCTATGAAGGCAGCCTCCTGCCTCTCGTACTAGCCTACAGAGTCTTAACAGCAAAGCCATCTGACCACCAGCTTAATTTTCAATAAACTCTCCATCGCCATTGAACAACTGAGTACACTCAGATCCTTATCAAACTAATGTCCATAGCAATATTTACCTTATCAGCTTACAAGCATATTTGTTTTCAAAAGCAATTTGCTTAAACATGAAGAAAACTATATTTGAAAATTAACTCTATTAACTCAGCCATGTAACTATAGCACAGAGAAACTGTTGAATAAAATCCACAAATAACTTACAAATGCATTATTTGCTTAAGAAATTGTAACTTCCAGAGAAGTTAAATGAAGTTAGAGAAATTTTAATTTTAACCTGCAATCAGTGTGTAATGAATATTAATCACCACTATACCAAACCAAGGCGAAGCAGCTGACCCACCAACTAATGATACGGAAACTTTCACAGCATCTCAAGTGCACCCAGCTCTTCTGCTTCCCACGCAGCTTTGATGTTGCTTCTAACTCGGGACTCAGAGAGGCTCTCACAGGCAACAGGCAAACGTCTAGATTACCCATTCATTTTAGTCTGCACAGGAAGCACACATATAAGTAGCTGGGGAATAAGGAGAGATGTGTCCTCACATTAAAGACTGTGTATGTACCTGGCTGTCGGGTCAGGCACATATACAGACCACGTAAATATTGGCATATGTAAATTTGAGATAGACATCAGTACACGTGTATCTCTATGGAGATGTTATATCAAATAGTGATTCAGACTAGGCATGTAACAACGCTGAAGCACAATATGACAATATCTACCAGAATTACAAGTGCACATGCTCTTTATTACTGGGATGGTCATTCTAGTTCTAGAATTTACTCTTCAGATAGAGTCACTCAGGTGTGTAAAGCCATATGTACAAGGATGTACTTATAGTCATGTCTATAAGGGTAAAAGCTGAAAGAAAAACCTAAACAAATTTCCATTCTTATTCATACACATGCCCTCCATCCAACTTATTTACTATTTGCCAGGCACTATACCAAATGACCTTTACCTATCTACTTGTGTATGTATTATATATATATGTGTGTGTGTGTTATATTATATATCTACATATAATTATATGTATAATTACGTATCTGTATATAAAATATATATAATATAGAAGTGTAATATTATATGTACTATTATATACATCTGTTGTCTATATAGAATATATATGACATTCTCTTTGGATGACTGTGTTTTTCATTTTTCCTCTGGGCAGTCTTATGCAATATGGCATGTGATAACCCTGGTGTGTGCTGCTGGGAAGGATAGATGAGGCTTTTATTTGGGGAATGTTCACATGAATATTTGTGCCGAGTGTCCTACAGGACCTCTCTGGCCTTCAATGCAGGATTTCCCCCCGACACAGGCGACCTGGTGAGAGGACCGCCTCCCTCTACCCACAAGCTTCCAGAGTCCCAGTTCCTTGGGTGAGTGGATGCAGAGCAGATGCATTTCCTAAGGCCCATCAGCCCCTCACATCAGCACACCCCTGTGATGTCCTGTTTGGTTCTGCAGCAGTATCAAGGACTATGGCTTCCAGCAAGGTTTATGACACTTTGTGGTTGCCTACTTCATTGAACTCTAGGTTTACTGAGCTCCAGATTAATGGAATAGATTCACTTTGACATTTCTCGGCTCCTGGATGTGCCAACAAATTGGCTAAGATTCTCTGAACCCCCAGAAACTTTGAGTGGATGCATATGTATGTATATTATATTACATATTAATTATAATGTACATGTGCATTACATATAGTATATTAGTTACATATAATATAAATAGTTAACTGGATCCTCAAAGACAGTTGTAGTGTCCCACACAAAAAATTAGAAATCATTAGTGTAGGAATTCAAGTCTCCACTTTAGAATAAATTTAAATGGTATTCATAAGTTATTTAAATTACTTTCTGTGACATATAATACCTGACTACTCTGAAATTCTAAATCCATTTTCAAAAACTTACTTATATGAATTCACAATCACTTAGCACATTAAATAGCTTTTTTAACAAGTCCTAGATTAGGTGTTTTGGGAAATAAAGCCTTTGGTAAATGGCTATTATCAATATTATAAACTCCAGACTATCTGAGGGGAATTTCAGGATACATATTCCAGACCATTGGAAGGGGATTTCAGGAGACAGAAGTCCTAGCATGATTCAAATTAAAACAGAAAGTGCTTGCCAAGTATCTCCCTGTGTGGCAGTATGTCACAATTCCACCCACACTCTCCGATGCAGCCATAATAATACTCCAGGCTGGAGAAAGACGTGCTGGGTCTGAGCTCACTCACGGCAGGGGGAAGGAGAGGACCACAGGTTCTAGGGCTAGATGGCTTGGGTTCAAGTCTCGTTTCTTCACTTCCTGGTGGTGTGACTGGGTAAGGTACTTCACCTCTCCAACAGGTGTTTTCTCCATGAAATGGAGGGGGACCACACAAGTTTTGTTGCAGTGATTCAATGAAATAAACCAAGTACCTAGTGCATAATAGGTTGTAGCTGTTATTGTTATTTTAGATCTCAAATGACACCTATGTATACATACTGTCAACCATAGGCTACCAAGTAGGATTCAATGATGGCAAGTGTAGTGATGAGACCTAGTTCTTTCTGATGGATTTCTTTATGACCAATATAGAAGGCTAGATGGCCAGTTGTAAAGACTCATTAGCTTGCTTATCTCAGAGGTAAAAGCAGGATTAACTGTTTAGGATTAGACTACCGTAACCCTAAACAGGATTAGACTACGGTAAATGGCTTCTGGCAAAAAGGATGTAACTCTCTACAGAAATCTAAAAGGAATTTGAAATGAAAGTAATCTGTGTGCTCCCTTGGAAGTGGAATATTCTTTGGCTTATTGAGTGTAATAATGTGATGAGAGGAAGAATAGAGTGTGGACCCGGAAGAGCTGATTACATCTTGCCTGAAAGCAGCACCCTGACGTGTCTCAACCTCAACTCCATTCAGACCTTCAGCTGCTGGCTGATTTAGGAAGGTTTCTAACCGGGCTGGACATGAGGGATGTACTGGGACCTCCCAAAATGAAAGTATTACAAAATTCTATGCTAGTTGAGCAAAACTAGATGTAATCTCCCTTTTAAGAGTGATGTTATTTCACATATTTTAAAATTTCTCACAAAACCTGGTACTCTGATGTTTCTGAAGTCAGTTTTGATGAATTGAATTGAAATTCCTCTGCCAAACTGAAGTGGTAAAACTTGGTTTATGGAACTCCTTAAGAAATACATGGGTCACTTCTATCCCAAATGGAACTGTGGCTGTATTTAAGGGGCTCGATTCAGCCTGTGCTTCTTCCAGAAAACTTTGAGTTTATAAAGCACCAGTTGTCACACAGAATTTTAAATTGTTTTCTATTTGTCCCCTATTTCTAGAAGTATTTCCTTCTATAGCCTAGATAGTAATTGAAATCCCATCTCCATACCTCAGGAGTCTCTAGAATTGCCTTAAAACATGGCTATTTGGATTAGGATTTTCAGATTCAGGAAGGGCAACTTAAAATCATACCTTGTGATGATTTCTTCTGCCACGAGATCAAAGCATCCCTTACAAATCTTTCCCAACACTACATCCCATTTTTTTCTCCTGTACTGAGTCCTGGACTAGCTTTAGATAAATCTGCAAAACACATTTCTATCCCCTTATACTTTGGTTCTGTTTTTATGCACCACTTTCTACTGCTGATCATTGTGGGGAAGCAGTTTTATATATTTGCTCAGTTCTTTCAAATTTTCCACCTCTTTCATTTAGGCTAGTTTTCCTTACCACCACAAAACCTCAGTAAGTGGGCACAAGCAGCCTGGTGTAGGGTTGAGCACACTGAAGCCCAGAGACACAGGGGTGTCAGACTTCCAAAGCTGTATGGAGTCCGGTAGTAGTATGGGGGTTTGTGTCCTGGCCTTGCTCTCCATGCCTGATTTCTCCGATGCCTGCGGTACTCACATAATAACGTGAGCTACTGAAATCACTCTTTGCAGACCTTTACACTGAGTGCTCTTGGTCTGGTCCATGAAGTAATCTGTGGGGCACAGCCAGCACGTCAGAACCAGACAGATTCGCCTGATTCCTGCCTCCAACTCTTACACATTGCGAGACCGTGATTATCCCACTAATCATCTGTAAAGTGCAGTAACATTAACTTGCAGTAATATTAAGAAGGAGTAAATGTACAGTGCTTGGCTCACTGTAGGCCTCCAATAAAAGGTAGGAAAGATATAGTCATTCACAGCAGGGGAACTGTGTCCTACTTACCAGCCTAGGTCTATTTCTTCTGGGCCACTTGTTTCCTAAAAACAGATTTCAACTCCTCTACCCAAAGGGTCCTCCAAGGAAATGCTTCTCAAGATTAGTTTGCTTAAGTCACTCAGGTATCTTAAGAGGCAGATTTGATTTAGTAAGCAATTCTAACAAGCTCAGGTGAAATCAGTCCTGCTTTTGGACCACACTCTGAGCAGAGAGAAGGCATCCAGTGAGCTGGACTTGAGGACAAGATTCTTCAGGACCAGTGGTTCTCACATTTCACAATCTATCATAATCACATGGAGGGCTTTTAAAATAAACAAATATATATGGTGTCCCACCCCAGAGCAGGTCTGAGGTGGGGCCATAAAGTGTCATTTCTAACAGGTTCCCAAGTAATGCTGATGCTGCTAGTCTGGGGACTACAATTGTTCTATACTTAGCAGGGGCAATTGAAGACCAGAAGGAAATTTGGTTCCAGTGATAACTGACTTTCTCGAGAAAGCTCCCTCCAAAGGCCTTCCCATTTCCTGCTCCCTAACCATTCACCTTCCCCTCCTGCGACAGTTGCAGGCGTCCTTTACCTTGTAGACATTGATAGGGATGTCAATGATGATGTGCAGCAGGTCTCCCAGAGCCAGGCTGGCTATCAAAATATTGGGGCCGTTCCTCATGCACTTGTTCTTGTAAATGATTCTCAGCAGTGTGGAGTTTCCGATGATGCCCAGCACAAACACTAGGCAAGACACCACGGTGTTGATGTACTTGAAAGTCTCTTTGATCTCAATGGATCCCTCGCACCGGGGAGTGTGAGGCGGGGCTCCAGCCGGCTTCCTTGCTTTAGGCATCTGCGGAGGTACTGACGACCAGGGCACGCTGGTGTTGGACCTCGTCGGCCAGGAGAGCTTAGACGGGGGCGTCGTTATCTCTCTGGTCCCCAGAAGTAGCGGGGTGGCCCCAGCCATCGGTAATCCCGTCTCTTCTCCTTGGACCTCCGCCACGCAGCATGCAAAGATCAGGGCCACTAGGGCGCCTCCGCAGAGGCTTGGCAGCGGCTGCATGCTGCTGCCTGCTCCAGTGAGCGTCCAGTGGCCGCTCCGAAGCTTTCGCTCTGGAAACCAGCAGCGGAAGGAAGACAGGACACTAGGTCAGCTACCTTAGCCACGCCCCTGCAAACCGCTAGGTCGGAACGCGGCGGCGCTGCTACGATCCGCGCGCAAAAGTAACTCAAGTTTGCGCACCAGTAAACAGGCCGGTCTGACCCGCCCGTGTCCGTCGGCTGAACTTCCAGAGCCAGCTTTTTTAATGTTTTTTCTCCGCTGCGTCACCCGCACCTCCCACCCCTCAGAGGTAAAGGACCGGCAGTGGGGCGGGACATTCTGAAAGGGGTGTGCCCCCGAGAGAGGGACGGGTGTCCAAGACAAATCTGAGTTCCTTGGTGTACCAGGAGGAAGCATAAACGTTTTGGCTAAGGACGCTTGCGACTGGGGAATCAAGGCACCCAGAGGCCAAGCACCTCTGCGAATCTCTGCATTTCGCTCCCTAGAGAACCCGGACACCCTGCCTATCAGTGCCCAGACTCCTCCTGGTGGGCGACAGCCGCTACTCCACCGCCGCCGGCGCTCAAGTTCCCAGGCGCCCGCAGCAGTGCGCGGGCTGACTCGGAAAATCCTGGAGACTTTTCTGTTCCGTCCGCTAGGGAAGACTATCAATTACCCACCCTCCAGGTGGCTTTAACCACTCACACTCCCTCCTTTATTACAATCTCAATTCCTGTGTCTAATTGTTTTTTTTTTTAACCCCCAAACTAGTAATTCAAGCTGAAGCCCCAAGACAAGGTTCAATCACTGATTTTAATTCAACACGAAGACCGTTTAGCTCCTGATGCGATGCACCAGGTGCCAAGCGACCAGGGAAGGCCTCCTTCCCGGGACGCACTCGGCTAGCGGCTGGGTTCCTCCTGCTCCTGGAGCAGAGGGCGTGTCCCCTCCCTTCAACAGCAGGCGGGTCTGGCTCTGATGAAACGCTAGGAAATGCCAGATCGTGTAGCCTACACAGTTTACTCGGGGTCTTTGCTGTCCCTAGACCAACAGTTTTATTCATTCGTCCCTTCCCCATCAATCACCAGGAGTCCTTTCGCGCCAGCGGAATGCGCAGCAACCTTTCCCCTGGGGCAACGCCTGGGCGGCGTCAGCAGGAGCTGCCCGCGGGAGAGCGCAGTCGCGCAGAGTTCCCTGCGCGTCCCGGGCGCCCCTTTATTTGTCAGAGTTCCGAGTTTTTCAAATCACGTGCGTAAACCAGGGTCAAGTTTCTACGCACTCGGTGACGCGCTTGGGCTCCACTAGAACCGGGATCTGTATAAAACCTGTTAGCACAGACTTTTACTGCCTCGTATGACTCCCCCCCCCCCCCATTAAATACCCCGCGTGATATCTAAGACCTGATTGGTTTGGGGCGCTGCTCTTGGCCACATTTTTGTTTTGTTCTTCAATTTCGCCCCTAACACGGAAGAGTGCGATGGACCCTTTCTTCTCAAACCTTGTCACTGAGCTGTGAATCAGGGACTAAAACGTCTCCCTCACCGTCTCCAGCAACGGCTATTTTCTCTTCCTGCTGAAGTCCCACCATCTCAGGTACTCGATACCTATAGGGACCCAAAAAATAATCACAAGACTGCCATTCAAAGCCAGGATCATATTTGTCAGGCAGAGCCATAAAATAGATTCTTGCTACCCATTCCTGAACTCATTTTTTATGGGAGGGAGGGAAACAATAGAGACTGACAGTTTTGCTCAAAGATTGTATGAAACGGAAGTCAGAGATTTAGGCCGTGTGATGCACATCGGATATTACTCTGTTGTCTTCCAGTCAACTGGTTCCACCTGTGAAATTTCAGCCCCAGGAGGAACCATGTCATGTAGCAACTCACCTGCAGACTAGGTGGCTGGTTCTTGGCTTCACAGCTGGTTAATGGCATAGGCGAGACAAGAGTCTTGAATTTTTGACTTCTGTGCAATGTCTTCTGGGATAAGAGTAGTAGAAAATCAATTTCTATTTTAAAAGATGAACTTTAAGTGTGAAGTATGTTCTAAAGAGCCCAATTAAGAAGTAAGGCAAAAGGAATGAGAAATATGGTCTAGGGTTGTGAGTGCTAATTCCAAATCTGGCTATTTTGAGGGCAGTACTTATCCTCCCCGTCTGAGAGAAGACAAGGTCAACATTGAATTGCTTCAAAGCTGAGCCAAGTAACAATGTACTGAGCTATGTAAATGAGGAATTAAAAGGGTGCTCCATAGATTCATTTGGAATATGAATATTTTGCTCAGGTTTGAATTTGCCTTCTTATACAAGCCTTCTTCCCATCATTTCTAGAGACCCTACTGATGGGACCATTTTTCTTCCCTCCCCGTTCACTCTCCCATCGGCATGGCCACCAGGATTCATCTTGCCTCCATCCAGTCTTGGATGCCTATTCTGAGCTTCACTGCGATCTCTCTGTTCGCTTTTCCCACAGCACTGAATGACGGTTAAACACAACTGAGCACTTGATCACATAGAGGCTTTTATGGGGCACCATTGATTTCATGTGAATTAATTTCTTTTTCCAGGATAGGAACAGAATTGTATGTTGTTTTGTTACTATCACAATGCCTGCCGTAAGGTTGAACTCAAGACATTTTTTATACGTTTGATAATTATATTTTAAGTCATTTAACTTTATTTTAGTAACTCTAGCTATAGGGCTCAAAAACAATAAAATAGTTTTAAGGTAAAAATACACTTTTCTCAAAAAGGAATTTTAAAATATAATGTCAGCTACCTATGATAGGGTCTACCACCTACATTAGGCACCTCATTTACAGGATCTCATTTATTCCCTCACAGCAGTCTTTGAGTTAGGAATTGCTTTTCATGGTTTCTTCTCAAATCCTCACCTGAGAACATGCATGTTGATTTTGGAGAGAGGGAAAGAGAGAGAAAGAGAGAGGGAGAGAAACTTCTATCAGTTACCTCTCATACGTGCCCTGACCTAGACATGTGCCCTGACTGGGAGTCAAACCCATGACCTTTTCAGTTCATGTGAACATTTTATTCTTTGATCCTCATGAATGACTGTAATCAAATCCCAAGAAATTGTCTCCGTTTCCCCCTTTGTAAAGTGGAGGGAAATAATGAGATGATCTCTAAAGTTACTTCTTGCTCTGACACATCAGTCTGACAGGCAAATTCACTGACCTTGAAGAGCAGAAAAGGGAGAATAGATCTCAGGACAGACTCTTCCTTTTTAATTTCTCTATTCATGCCTTGGGCAATATTACTACAGGTACAAGGTTTTTTACCTTATTCCTTAAAAATCCCTCGATAAACTTTATTTGCAAATTCACCAGTAATTGAAGTACAGTGTAAATTTTATTTGTAAGTTGGAAGCAAGGGGTGGCATCAAATTTTAATAACTTTACTGAAAATTTTTGAGTGTGAGCTAATTCAGCATTTAGCATTTATGAAGGTTATTTTTTTTTGATGTAGTAAATATGGACTGCCTTACAAAGTGACTTTTAGAATGACACTTTCTGAAGTGCCCTAGGAGATGCATCAAAATCCCACACTGGCTAAGATCGCCTGTCAGAGACAGAAGGGGTGGAGGACAAGGTCCCACTGTCCCTTTTAAATGCTTGAACTAGAAGGTCCCGGAGACAGGGCTGCATGTACTTCAGAGTTCATTCCTCAAAGAGCTTTGCCATGGGGGGCCTGCCCAAAGCAAACCTTTTCCCCTGGTAAGAGAACAAAGAAGAGCCCTTTTAGGCACTCACAAAAAGCTCATACTTTCAAGTAATCCCCTTGGTATGAATGTACCCTTCGAAATCTCCCTTGCATCCTCTAAATCATGACTGTTGAGGGACAAGGTGTGTGAAAGGCACAGAGCAAGCTGCTTCAATTGCCGCTCCACACATCCCCCTAGGAGCAGATCCAATGATCAAACAGTGGTTGAAGTAAGAGAATAAAGATGTAAAGTGACTGCACGAATCAATAGCAAACAGCCTGAGAATCTCTATAGCTTGGATTTTCACTTAGATCAAGTGCTCTTTGGGTCTTATCGTTAAGGATGCTCTTTTTATTCTTTTAAGATTAAGATATGATTTTATATAGTTAAATGGACAGGGCATCAGTGCACAGTTTGAAGAGTTTTGACAAATGTGGGCATACCTGTGACCCATACTTCATGAAGCTTTTATGAAAATACATTTATTCTTCTAAAGTTCAAATTTTGAAATTTTTGGATTTGGATATTATTTCTATTAAAATTTTAATGAAGGCATAATTTCTGCTTTAGCAACTTTCTTTATACTTATTATCAGCTCTGCCATAATTTACGAATTAGGAGTGTGATAGTAAGTGAGAGAATCTGAGATTTGAAACTTCGTCAATGGTTGCCTATTTCTAGTTCCTGCCTCTAAAGTCAGGAAAACTTGGTAGACTTACAGTAACTAGAAATAAGATATAATTAGTTCTTTTCTGCTGACAATATATGAGAAACAGCGAGGCTGCCTCACGTTCTTTATTCTGTCTGAAAAAGGAGCATGGTTCAGCTGCTCCTACTGGTAGGCTACAGTCTACTTTAATTAAAGGATTTAATTAAAGGTGTTGTTCTCTGGTTTATGGCTTAAGTAATTTTTATATTTTTTCTTTGATGCATTTTTTTACACCAACATTGGTTAAATAAAAAAGAGTATAACCCGGTCTACAATCTCTTTACAACTGTTCTCAAGAACACTTTGGCACAACTTTAACAATATAACAGTATTAGAAATTCCTGTCTAAGCAGGCAATCCAACCTGTGTTTACTTGCTTTATCAGTGGACAAGTGACATTTATGTAAATTGTTCTTAGGCTATTCAATCATAGGCAAAATACTGCCATTACTTTATAGTAGAACAATCATCACTAAGGTACTTTTTTGAGAGATTGTTATTTCATATCGGATATAATTTATGATGAGTTTATGGGTCATCCCTTTGAATTATTTTCTTTAATTTTCACAATTCCTTATTTCTATTCTTTTAATATCCTAATGGTGTGTGTAAAGGGATGTGCAATAGTCAAAGGAAGTTAGAAAGAGAAGCTTTGGGATTTAACAATCTATTGTTGAATAAAGAAGAGTTGCTATTTCTTTAAAGAAAGAAAAGGATTTTTTGGAGTACAAAGTCAAGAAAAAATTTCTATGGGAGAAATAGACAGAAAACTGTACTTGAAAAATAACTAAATAAAATTTAAAATAAATAAATAAATAAAGA